ATAAATAAACTTCCCATCGGTTAAGGGTTGAACAAATCAAAGAGATCTAAATCCTAAAAATGATGTCCCCCGATAAAAGGATGAAATCGAAGAAACTTGATAAAGAATTTTCAGTGGTATCCAGTTCACCTGGGCAACCCAGTTCGCCCAGCGAGCGTAACCTAATTTTCCCTCGGTTCACTGCAACCAGGCTATCTAAAATAATCTTGGGAACAAAATGGCTGGGCAGCCAGATTGCTAGCAATCGGTATGCTTGGAAACGCGCACCGAACATCGAGCGGATGGCCCATTTCACGGGTTTTAAACACCCCCGTCCACCCAAGAAGAGGAAAAAACGAGAGATCTGATTCCTCCTTCCGATCCTTCCTCGACGATTTCCTCGTTGCCGCAGCATTTCGACCGAGAATCGTAGCGGATGTGCTTCGATGCTCACCCTTATTCTTCGAACCCCACTTCCGCCTATCGATTCTACCGCTATAGTCTACGTGAAAATGTCGCGAAAAATGTTCTGAGAAACTAACCCGTTTCAACGTTACTTGGCTTTTTAATTATTTCCTATTTAATCGCGATAATATACACGAAATATTACTCGGTGCTTTCTGAGAAAATTATCGTAAATAGCCGGAGGTGTACGAGGACAGTGACGTAAGCACGAAGTAGGAAAGTACCAGAGGGATGCGTCAGCACCCTGGTACAGAGCTGGAGGGCTCTGTTGGACTCTTCAAAGGGCGATTTGTCGACAGTCAACACGACAAAGACATTAGTCGGTAGTAGACTACCCCTCATCTTTCCTTCGGTCTGAAACCAACGGCACCCTCTTTCCGCGACCCATTAAGGAAGAAGGGGGTAGACAGGGGGCGCGTGGTTGCACGACTGCAGGGGATTTAACTGTCTTGCGAAATTTCTGCTGAACGATCTCAAAGGATGTCACGTTAGGATAAATTGATTTTTTTTCCCTCTCTTTCAACCCCTGAACTATCTCACCCCCTTGCTATCTATCGGATAGACAAACAAGACAGACACGTGTCTCGATTATTGTTTGCTAACTGTTTTGGGGAAAAATGTATTAAGGGGGATGAAGAGATTACGACCTTTGGCGAGTTCATTCAACTATCAGTAAATTAATTTAACTATTTAAAAAATATGTATATTTTATTCTGTTAAATTGAAAAGTTCAATGCACTCGACACTTTTTTATCTTATTTACTTCTACTTTAATGGAAAAAATATTCAGAGTGGTTGCATTCGGCGAATGTAAAAAATCAGACGAAAATGTTTGCCCGTGGACCATGGAATTTCGCGTTATCCCAGAAACCACCCCCGTTTTCCCACGCCCACGGGACGCATGCCTACCACGCACCCCTTTCCACCGTAGCTTCGTTCAACATTCCAGCGGGGATAGCCGATTCCTTTAGCCGGAGGCCAGAATCCTGGAATTCACCGCCTCTCTGGAACCGGGGAAACGTCCTTCCTTTCGCGAGCGTGCAAGTGTCAGCGGCGTGCGTGCGCGAAGGGAAAGGGTCGCTGTAGGGTTGAAGCCTGCAGGTACGTTAGGGTGTCTCGATTTCACGAAAGCAGCCGGGTGAAGGACGGAACGAAGGGAGGCGAAAATGCCTGCACGTGTTGCACGGAAATGCAAACATCGATGGGAAAGTAGGATGTTGGATGGAAAAGCAAATTTTTCAGCTTTCCAAATAAAGTGATGATAATAATATGAGAATTTTGGAAAAATTTTTGAAATTGAACTAGGAAAGAAACATTTTTATTTAAAAATTAATTGCCTTTCGAAATGGTCGAGTATTTAAAATCCTTTTTTTTTATATTAGTTTCATATTTTTTATCGCAGCAATTTATTTTCCTTTTAAATACTGATGGACTGCCATTTACAGCTCCTCTTTTTTTATCAACAGAATGTTGCTACAAATTTACAAACTGTTAATTAAAACGCCTGTTATGAAACGTGGACAGAAAATTTGATGAAATTGTAAAAGTTCCAAAATTAAAATGAATTTTAACAAAACTACAGTTCCCTGGTTAAACCCCCATCAAACTTTTTATGCGGTTAATTACTGAACATCTCTAACGGTGTCCAATGAAAATCTGGAATTTCTCGTCGAATCTCTGCTCGATATCAGATTCTAAATCGTTGTTAGCCTCGTTAGATACAATTAATGTCCAGTTATTGCGAGGAATTTCTCGATTAGAACTAGTTCCAGGTGGAACCATCAGCCTTCTCCGGAAACTTTGTGATATAAAATCTGGCCAACTCGGCGCTGACGTAACACGCGATGATAAGGGGTAAATTTCACTCGAAGGAAGTCACTTACCGAGTGTTTCGACGAGCAACTCCTCTAGGAATGACTTTATTCTTGAAAATAAACGTCTCGATGGCCGGTGAGGGAATAAAACGCGGGTACAAGGTAAAATTTATTAACCATTACTACACTCTGTCGCGAGAAGGAGAAAATTATTTTATCTTGTTTCGCTCTGCGATGAGAAAGAAATTTTTATTTTACTCTTTCCAGTTGTTATGGAAGCTCAAAGTATTTAAACAGATACGAGTTTACTTTTTTATTTTCTCGTAAAAAGTTTATGTGGTCAGATAACGTAATTTGAAATTGTCAAATTCGAGTATTTTACACTGGTCTGTTGTTAAAAAATATTAACTTAAAATTTATTTTTATTCATTTAAAAAAAATACTACAGACTATAATTGTTCTAATGAGTTCATTAATGACACCCTTCGAATATTTACTCTTGGATGGCGGACCATGGAGAGAACCCGAATCATAATATTATACAACCAACACCTCCAACGTGTAAACGAAAAACTAGGACACGACTATGTAAAATGTCCTGGAAATTCCTTCAAAATATCCAGCCAATTACCTTAACGATGCATAAGCAACAGTATGGAGCGACTTGATCGCATGTTTACACGGGTTTAACATCGACCGACAAGGAAGTATGCAACAAAAGGAATACCTTCGTCTTCGACCGAGCCCTGCTGCACGACCCTGTTCGTCAGTTATTTGAATTGCAACGTGCTTGGAGGATGCTTAAGCGACCCGAAGCCCGGTTTCGATGGCTTTTAACCGGTGTCATAACGATCCCGTGACACGTGGAAGCGTTTTCGCCAAACCATTAGCGTATCAGCCCGGTCGTTACTGACCCATTACTATATTTTTCCCCGGGACAGCTACTCTGCAACACGGCATTAACCGTGCCAGAAGGATGCGATAGAGAGTTAGTGTGTCGCCAACTATAACATAGATTTTACGTCAATTCCCAGACACCGTTGAATAAACTTGTCTTTACGACCGACGAAGATAAACATCCCTTATATACGATCGAACCCCTAAAACTCGTGGCTTGCACTTCGCGTGAAAGCACTTTCTACCGGGTTCATTATGAGATCGATGCTGTTTCCCGCTGAAATTCAACGGGCCGAAGGATCAAAGGGAAACGGTTGAAAATTTCAGACAGGCCAGAAGCGAATCGATCGGCCAGACGAGCTGAAAAATTCCTCAGACGTTTGGAATTGCATCGCGACGCGACGCCTCGATATTTCCCTGCGAGATATGTTTAAGCAAAACATCAAAGGAACGAGACACGGCCAAGTATGATCGGTATGTCGCGTCTGTCCAACTAAATATAAATTGTAATCGGGTTAATGGAACGAATCGGAAGAGATCCTTGGTTTGTTTCCTTTAACATGTTCGCTCCGGTTCTTTCTTATTTCCAAGTGGATTAAGGTGGAACGATAGAAATATATGACGGTAAGTAAGCAACGAAGAAGGAGAATTATCCGATCAGTCATTTACTGAATTTTTGTTAACCGCAAACAAGAAAAATGCTCGAGTAGAGCCACCGCTAAGCCGTCAGAAAGATGAAAAATCGTTCGGGGAAAGTAGACTAAAACAAATCGCCTCGCTCGACGAGATTAAGCTAGATGCATTTTATTATCTCAGTAATTACCGGCACGAAAAACGATGAAACTTTCCGACAGCGCCGATAATTCATTAACTCAAACCAGAGGATTCCCAGCTATCTGGTTAGCATGTTTCTTCCTTTGATTTACAACCCGATCGAGTTCCTTTCTTTTGCAACTACTCTGTTGAAAAATTTATTAATGAATCGATCTTCCAACGCGTACGAATCGTCGTGGCCAAATGTTAGGATAGAAAAATAGTGAGCGATAAAAATGAGCAAGTGTCGCGTAGGGGAGAATCAGGGCCCGAATTTATCGTCGTTCGATTTTTATCGAGTTACAAAAAGAGAAATTAACGCGGCTGCTAGGCGAAAGCTTAGAAATTAGATTTCCTCGGACGCCAGATGTTTCGTCCCGTTCCTTTTCCGTGATTGCGACCGCTTTTCCGGCGTGTCGTCCGATAGGAAACAATATCGACAGCGAATCGACCAAAGAAATCGAGCAATTTTCTCGCTGCGTGTGTCGCTATCGTTCGATACCAATGTGTAATAAAAAAAAAACAATCACGAGGTCATGATTTCTTTACGAAGCGAATTGAGATGAATTTATTACCTAATTATTAAATTTTTTTATCAAAAATTGAAAATTTTTAACTTAGAGTTCGATAATTATTGAAAGTTTCTAACTTTGAATTCGATAATTATTAAAAGTAAAATATTCTTGAAAATATTGAAAATTTCTAACTTTGAATTTCATAATTATTGAAAATAAAATATTCTTGAAAATATTGAAAATTTCTAACTTTGAGTTTGATAATTATTGAAAGTAAAATACTCTTGAAAATATTGAAAGTTTCCAACTTTGAATTCGATAATTATTGAAAGTAAAATATTCTTGAAAATATTGAAAATTTTTAAAAGTTTAGTAATAATTTTAAAAGTTCTGAAAATGATACGATAGTGTTACACAAAATGTGCTCCAACGTTGCGGCAATTAATTACGAATCATAGCTAACGAACGCGCTTAATCAATTACACGGTAATAGAATCAATTCTGTACTGTCACTTACCGAATATTTACTGCTCCAGAAACGGTCGACGCCGCCGAATCACCCTCCACCGTTCCAGTGGACTCGATCCCCTGAAAATCAGAATAACGAAAAAATAAAATGTGCCCGTGGGATAATTTATGGAAAAAGTTGAGTGGACCCGGCGGATAGACTTCCGTTCCCTTTCTACCTGTTTTTCGCATCTAGATCGAACTTTGCCCCAACTAATTATCGACTAACATTGAAGCAGCTGCGAAAATAGGCGAACTTGACTGAAATAGAAAGTTCCAAATAACTTTGAGTGATATTAAAATTCCATAAATTTTGTGGAAATATTTTTCAGCAAAATTCTTAAATTGTCTCTGATAACTCTTTCTGTTTTTACAACGACACTCGAGATGAAAGGCGAACGGGCACTCTATTCCCCCAGAAACATAAAGTCATCCCCATAAATCTGGATTTCTCAACTTCCTGCCGAACAAAAAGTCCTTGTCCACCCGATCGTTTCCTCGTCCAACGAAAAGTCATCCTCGTAAATCGTTACCCGATTTAACGTTCGAGCTGCCACAATCGACTCCGCCCCCATTGTCGAAGCAAACCATCCAGAAACGACTTGCAAAAGCGCCTCTCCCCTACCCGAGGCTCATAAATCTCCAATCGATTCACATTTTGTTAACTCCTAATAATGGCAACGGGGGTGACCCTTCCGTTGCCGGTTCCATTGTACCGATGCTTCGTGCTCGGGATGTCAATGAAATTCGGGACGGGCTCGTCACGCACGACTAAATAACCGACAAACGGGGAAACCGGTGGCAACGCGTGGACCATCCTCTCGAAGAATCGCTATAATAAATCTACGAACCGTTGAGATCATCACGAATCGCGTTTTCTTTCGGCAATCGGATCGTAAGAGGCAACTAACGACGCGTCCGGAAGCGTACCGTGTTCCTTTTTATCAAGCCTTCCCTCTCAATTTCACGTCTTCCATTCCGCAGACTCAGGTCTGCTTTACGGTTCGTTTTCCTCGACCAGATCGTCTGTGCAGCGTTTCATCGGTTCCTTTGGTGACGTCGCGACGCGTGGACCCGTATCCCTCCAGCTTCGCGAGTCATTAATTTTAACGATCGTTAGAGAGCGACGTACATACACACCATGACGATCGCGTGTCGACTCGTCTTCGAGTCACGCGAAACGAGGGTAGGTTTCGTTGATAAATGACACGGACTCGGGGCAAATGGAAACGACATGGAAAAAAAAGGGTTCGACGCTCTTTCTTTATAATGTACCATGGACAGAGCTTCTTATATTAGACCATGTATCGTTGATAATTTCTCAGGGAAAAAATTACGACTCTTTCCCTTATACAGTCATCGCGTTAGTCTTTTGCCTTACAACCACTAATTACACTCTTGTCACAGTCTATGTAAATGGGACAAAATAAATTGTACTCGGAGGATAGTCAGTTAATTAAAATTGCAAATGTAATTTACAAAACTCCCAAAGGGTAACTATTTAATTCAACATTCAACTTAATCGTTCGAACAGATTAACAAGCCGAAGATTTCATTGAAAAGGACGTGTTCACACGTGGACACCGGGGAGGAAGTTGCCCGAAAGTTTCCTGTTCGAATCGGGGTCGAACGGAAGCTTTTAATTAAATCGACGGCACGAGAAGTACGATCGCGCGGCAGAGATTCGTCCAAGCCGCCGAAAATGCATCCGCGTAATGTTGCCAAATTCTCGTTAATTGCGAATTCGCGAGCTGCCTCCGTTGTCACGCGGCACGTGCCAAAAATCCTTTCTGCTCCGCCTTTTTGTTTTTTTCTTCTCCGCCGATCTATTGATTTTGGCACTTGACCGCTCGCTACGACCATCACCGGCAGCCGGCTCCAATAAAATTCTCTCCCCTTTATCCGCTCCTTTTCGAGACCCAATTATAAGCAGCCTCGAGGATGCACTTGTATCGCGTGTTTCTTGCACACGCGAGCACGTGCCTGTTCCTCGAGAGTCCTGCAATTATTTCTGGGACCGGGATACTCGAGGAATAAACCTTCTCCGACGAAAAAGTTCTACCTAATCCCAGTCGCGAAATTGCAAATAGGAAGCGTTAGAAACGAGCCTTCGCGGTGGCAAAATGGCTCGAACAATAATTAGAAACGATAATAATTAAATGAAACGTGTTGTACGAACGAAGTCGTATTCAAACGAGAGACTCATTAATCTGTTGAAAATTTCTATCTTCGTTTGAAAGGGATGAACCGCGTGATTCGTAGTTTCAGGAAGTTGGGATCGAAATGAACGTAAATATTGAAGTTAACGGCAGGAAGAAAGTTATTGAGTGAAGATGATCGGATTCGATGCAACGGGAACTCGAGACAGTCGGAATTTTGGTAAAATTAATATCCGCGCACCAACAGGATCGAATTATAGTGCATGGAAGTTCCGGCTGACGGAAATAGTTCCACGTGGTTTCAATGGCGGATAAGGGGTGATTGAAATTCGACGGAGATACTCGGGCCGGACGGTTAATTAAGTTCCAATTGTCGAGTGGGGACGGTGAATCGCGATGGTACGAGTTATTATAAAATTGTTGCAGAAATTCATCCAAATCATTTACTACCCTTGTCCTAATGCGTTTGTCCTGAATTATTTTCGCAAATTTTCATAAGACTTCAAAATCAAAAAAATTCTTCAAAGGAAAAATCAAAGTTTCCATAGAAATTTCCACGAGCTGATCGAATCAGAGAAAAAGCCAGAAACGCTTTCTGTGTTTATACGACCGTTTTACACCCTTCGAGTGAAGGCTAACTGATCCAGCCAGCGGGCAGGATCGAAGAAAGATCTTGCTGAATCTTAACAGCCTGGAGCGACGTGGAATTTTAAGCAATCCCTTAAATTTACTCGCCATCTCGCGGCTAAGGTAAGGGTTATCGAGTTATCGAGTTACTCCACGGAATATAAGGCTTACAACGGGGTCGAAGGAAGCTTTCAGGGGTGAACATCGCGGATGATTCACCCCTCGGTTTAAAATATAGGTAGCTAAGAGACGGGGGACAAGTTTCGTTAGATGAGCTTCATCGAAGTTGCGTTATTGAATAACCGGATCCGTTGTTCACTTTCGAGAGTTGCGCTATAGTGTTCTTTTCTTCCTTTTATTCTTTTCTTTTTTCCAAATTCAATTTTGAAACGTTGATATGCAAACTAATAACTGAACAATTATCAGATATACCACTCCATCTATTAAAGTATTTATAATTCAATATTTTCTACTTCGAATAAAAATGAAAATTATGAAAACTTTCGAGGCATTCATTTTCCTTCTTCGAATAAACACGTTCAACGAATCGAATGAAAGTTTCATCAAGAGCCTTAATAAAATGACATCCAACTAATTACGAAGTTTGAGGGATCGTGTAAGAGCAAAAAAGCTTTCCGGGGCTTATTTCATTAATTAAAGTCAACGTTTTTCTTTACCTAACGCGCCGACTGATTCCAAGATTAAAAAACTTCCCGGCGAGGTATAAACGTTACCTTGATGAACAATTTATATACATGGAACAAAACGATCGTGTCGTGTTTATCGTCCTGACGGCGATAAATCATTCAAATCCCTTCATCGTTCCTCGTCAACGTCGAAAGTGTCCTTTTAACATTCGAAGATACTCTTTCAACGCCTGTCAGACGAATTTTAAAATTAGACCGAATTTTCTTTTTCCTCGTTCGTGTTCGACAGAGAAATTAAATGGTAATGAAAAATTTCATTTAATAATTTTGTAAAAAAAGAATTCTACGGAAACGTTTGAAAAATTATAAAACTTTTAATTTAACGCTGCTCGGAAAATCGATCGCAAACGGATGAAACATTTCGATACAACGCGAATAGAGGAAATTATACTCGGAGAAGGATATTTTCACGCGAATTTCGATGGAAACGTCGTTTTCAATGAGAAAGCCCATATCTTGCACGTTTCATCGATCCCCTGTTCCATTTAAGATCGCCGCTTTTCATTTTAACGCGCGCATCCGTCCGGCCACTGTATCCGGTTGATCATCGAAACTGTGATAAATCAACGTTTCCATGTTTTAATACATCAAGCACGGCTTTCAGGTTGACCATGATAGCAGTCTGTATCATGGGAAACTGAAACACCGAAGCGAGTCGTAAAGTTCGCTTGAAAAATTCAACCGAAATATCCTGTTACGTTGTCTCCTTGTTCCTTTTTTTTTTCATGCGTTCCGACAACTGTGTATGGCAATAAAATGGACATTTATTCGCGTGTTCCAGGAGACGATGATGGAACATGAGGAAATAAAACGATGAATGTTCGTCGCAAGATGTCTTTCGTTCCAAGGATTTTATTTTTATATTGAAAAAGAGATTACTGAGAAAATTGCGTAGACTCCACCGAATTCTTAATTTTTCAATTTTCCTGTTTCTATCATAATTTTCAAATTTTGCATTCGATCAAAGTGAAGAATCGCGAATCAGTGTTAAACGAAAGAAATAAAAATCTGAAAAATTCAAGTCAACGAACGATAAGATACAGTTCCGAGCTCGTCCATCATTCGCGAAAGGGATCGAAGAGGGTGCAAACTGTTCGAAGAAAATTCTCACAAAAAAGCATCATATACATTCTAAATATGGATCCTGGTATTATGAAGAGCATCTTTTATCAATCCTGAAAGGACATTTCTTATAGAAACTAGCTTGGATACATCTATTTAGACGCGTCGAAAGGATTCTCTAACAACAGCTAAATTCACAGGTGTCGAAAAAGGAGGACAGTGAAAAGATGTAGCGAAGTTTAAAGGATCAAATTTCAACGAGGAATACACCCTTTATCTCGTGAAAGTTTACTGTCGCCACGTCTGGACAGTGGAAATGGATGATCTTTGGACAGTAATCTCGAAAAGTCTTTCCTTTGTCGCTTGATTTATGATCCCTAATTCTGTTGTGTATTACTCTAAGGAAAAATACCGGGACGATTTTTTTATCAATTAGCATCGATATTTCAACGTCATTAATTTTCGAGGAATCTCGCAAAATTTTCTATTTTCTTTCCCAAGAGAAAAATATCGATATCGCAGTTCC